ACCTTATAAACAGTAACTTAAACAACACGTGCACTCTTTTTGCTACTGTTGAGAGACTGACAAACCCCCCAAGTCAGACTACCAGTGAAATGCTCTCCGACAGCAAATGCAATGAGTTGCTTCCTTCTTTTCTGAGAAGATCAATAATATCAGGAAGGCGATTAGCACATCACCAAGTTATGCAGAGGTCAGACAGATTTGACCGCAATATCAAAAAGAAGATACTATGTCTGCTTTTGAAGAGATTGATAGCTAAATTTTGGAAGAAATAGTACAGCACCTTAAATTGTCAACCTGCTATCTTGACACGCTTCCCAAATATTTTTTCAAACGGTTGCTTAACTGTTTAGAAGCAGATCTGTTAGAAGTGGTGAACGCCTCACTTCTTTCTGGGACTTTTCCAAACTCCCTGAAAACTGCAGTTGTTAAACCCCTTCAGGACAATTTTCAATCTGGTTTCCGACAGCATCACAGCACTGAGACAGCGCTCATTAAGATAATAAATGATATTCGCTTAAATTCTGATTCTGGCAAAATATCAGTGCTGGTACTACTAGATCTCAGTGCTGCGTTTGACACTGTCGACCATAACATACTAGAGAGACTGGAAAACTGGGTTGGGCTTTCTGGGATGGTAATCAAATGGTTCAGGTCATACTTAGAAGGGAGAGGTTATTATGTGAGTATAAGAGAGCATAAGGCTAAGTGGACGTACATGAAATACGGAGTCCCACAAGGATCAATTCTTGCACTGCTCTTGTTTAGCCTGAATATGCTCCCACTAAGTCAAATAATGAGAAAGAACCAAATGTGCTATATAAATAAACCTGCCTTGCCTTGCCTAAATTCTAACATTTAAAGACATTACATTGTTTAGCAAACAGATTGCATTGACTAGATTGTATGCTTAAATTATCTCTCAGAAGTTATATTTCTCAGTTACTCTACAATTGTATTACACTGCATGTTAAACTCATTACTGCTAGGAATTTGTATCTCACTTGGCCATCCTACTACCATCCTGGCACATCCCTAATTGTAACGTTTGATTCAGCACCACAATAGGCAATTTGAAATTTGAATTGCTATTGAAATCACTGATCACTTGAAGTTATATTACTTAGGCTACCTTTATTTTGATAGGACAATATAGACAAAAAGCAATGGGAGGGACTCAAACTTGGGTCACCCGAGGTGCAGATTTGAACACTGAAAGATAGTTCTGTTGTGTTTAGGTAATTAGACTGAATGTGAAGTGATTATATGTAAAGAAATATGTACAAGGGTGTACATGTACAATATGTACAATGAAAGCACATGGCAGGTTTTGCATAAACCTCTAAAAAGATATCACTTGTCAAAATAGTACCAACATGTTTTAAAAAAAAACTGAAAGCTGTGTTAATTTGTATTCTGACATACTGTATATGCACTAAATATATGTGCATATATAATCAAATAAAGACACTTCCAAGTAAATTGCTTTGTACATATATTTTATGGGTGATTTTTGCATACTATGCAAACACGTTAATACTAGCTGACTTCACATTTTGAATTATGTACGTTTTAACAAGTAACATTCAATGATATAGGAGTACACATAGCTACTAATTCGCAAGATACCATGCAAAAAAATCGAATACTGTTGACAAATCTGCAACAGAAGCTGTAGGGTGTGATCATCATGACGACATGTAGAGCATAATACATTTCTGGGATGGTGATCATTTAATTGCTCATATAAAGAGGCACTTGAAATACTTCCCCCAAAAAAGAATGGCATAGGTTTTTTTAAAAAGTTGTTCTAAAAACAGAACAGTACACACACAACATCATGTAAACCTTACGTGAAGCACAAGATACTTCCTTGCTATTCTGCTGTACTTCTCATAAAAGAAAAAAAACAGTTCATCCATGATAAAAACAAATGCTACATTTTGCATATTTGTTTTCTTATATGTGTGTAAAAAATGAAGGTCCTTGTCATTTGATGAGGTAGAGCACTAATTTATTTCTATGAATACATTTTTAAAAGATTACAATTGAATGGGCTGCTTTAAGAGGAAGTCACTGAATGAACTGTCTAGCATGTGTCTTTGCAATGAATGCAAGAAAAAAAAATCTCTCATATATATCTTGAAGCTGAAACTGAATTTCAAAGCAGATTCTGCAGTTTAATGGCACGTGGGTTTGGTTTAGTGGCTTGATTTACAACTATTCAAAAGGCTTTAAAGCGCCTGTATGTAGTTTTGTGTATTTCTGCAGCTTTGTGAGTGGAATTCACTGAATATCACTAAATATATACAGTGGGTAGCTGTATATGTGCGCTTGTTGTTGCCTTAAAGCAATCAGCCTTTTAAGAATTTTGTACCTGCTCACCACAATTGCATAGCCTACTCCAAAACAGATGTTTAAGGGGAATGTGTGAAAGAAACAAAAGACGATCGCTTTGTTAGAAATCAGTGTAGCATTAGAATGATTCCAAGACTTCAAGGTAAAAGAAAAATTACAGTTACTTTTAAGCATCCTATTTATTGTGGAGCAATTACTTTGGTTAATTGCGTCAGTTGCCTCTTTAATATCAAAAAAGGTCAAATTCTGATGGCTAATTCAGCACATAATCATATATTATATCTCACATTCACAAACCAAAAATACAGTATTAAAAAAAATTATTGTACAAAATGATTGGTGAAAATGTCCTTGCAATTGATATGCTAATACTAAAAGTACGATTCAAACTTAAGATACATACAAAAGTAGCTTGTCAACATACTCAATTTTCCCCCAGGCATGCACACTCATAAGAAACTTGGTCGGACACTACCCAAATAATATTTTAAGGGCAATATCCTTTTACAAGCATGATTAAAAATCTTGTTACATAACTTCAAAGATATCGAAGCATACCTTATGTCTCCTAGTAACTCTATAATAACAGAGTCACATCAACCCCCCCCATTTTAATATGCTTCATGAAAGACATTAATGGCTCCTCATTAATGGTTACATACTTTTTTGGGTCACATTTTAGTTTGGGGACCAGCTATGACTTTTGCCTAAATAAAATCCTAATTCGCTGCTTATTAATAGTTAGTAAGGTAGTTGTTAGATTTAGATATGCGGTAGGATTAAGTAACCTAAAATATAGTAATGCAGAATAAGGCATTAATATGTGCTTTATAAGTACTAATATGCATGCATACAATATGCTAGTAATATGCATGCTAACAAGAATTGGTCCCCAAACTAAAGCGTTACCCTTTTTTGTAATATATAAAAACAGGAAAATAAATAAATAAAAGCGGAACAGAATAATGGTATGACACGGTTAGCTTATAGATTGTGTGCACTGAAGAAGGATCAATGCATTTTGAATTTTGAATCTGAAAAGTTTAAAGTTTATGACCAAACAGTCTTTTTATAGTGCATTTCTGAAAACGTTCACAGTAATTGTTTGTGTATATATACTGTATATTCAGTGCACAACAAAAAATAAGAAACACTCTATTTATATAGTGCATTTCTAACATTTTTGAATGGAACAACATGGAACAATAAAACATAAAAAAAGTATTTATTTTTCATTTAGTCATGATTTTAAAATGTATTAGTTGATTTTGCAAGAGTGAATTCTCATTCAATTACTGGAATTAACTGCTTTGAATTATTCAAATGCACTATGAAATCGGAATATTTGACTTTTTTTCACATGCACTTAAATCTCATGATTCCATGTTGTAACAATAAAATAGGTTCCTTTAATAGGTACTGCGTTTAGTAAAAAAATATACATACACATTTGTGTATATAATATGTATCTGTGTGTGTGTATGTACAGTATATACATCCTATTAAGCCTTTGCTGTTCAGTTAGAATAGCTACATGTGCAGATAGTGTATGCACATTTATACAAAAAAGGTCCATTGTCTGTTTACTGTCCTGATGAAGCTTTGTGATCAGGAAATCTTCTTTTTGTCACTCCGAAAAAGTCTGAAAGAGAGAGAATTTTTTTTTTTTTTAGAATTGTAATATAAAAATATCACATAGTGCCTATAACTAATATTTTTTAACAAAGTCCTAATCACATTAGTCTGGCCATAACGGAGTGATCCTGAGAATTAAATGTGACAACTATATCTACTGTCTTACCTGTGATGCTTGCTTGTCTGCGTTTGACCCCTAGCAATGCAGCCATTCTCTTCTCTGGCTTGGTTCCCCTCAGAGTTCCTCTGGTCCGCAGCTCCAGATATTTCTCTGTGGCCATAGCTGGACAAGCTTCCACCGTTTGCTTTGCCATACCGGGCCTTAACACACAGCTATGGTAGAACACTGGCACATCCTGGCACCGCAGCTCCTCCCACTCAATGCAACCGGGGGCTGGTTGGTCCATCTGAAAGTCAAAGTTCCAGCGCTGTTTGGCGATCTCCACGTTCATGCAGAATAGCCTCTGGAAGTCCTGTTGTAACTGCTGGTGGTCCACTGGGCCAAACAGGTTCCGCCGAACCACTGCTGCCTGAGGTTTAATGTCCTCCTCCTGCCCTTCCAGCAGCCCAAAATAACACGCAACTGGTGTCATGGACATGTTCCTGGGACAAAGAATAGAAATGCCCCAAAAGTATTGGTATTAGAGCACATTAGAGTACATTTTATTACTACAGTAGATAACAAAATCATGTCTTTTAATCAACTGGTATTTTGGTGATTTTTAGTAGATGTATGAAGCCAGTTCTCCTTAAGTTAACACAGTTGTCCAGGAAGATCAAGCACAAGTGCAGTGTATACATAAATAACATAATAACATAAACATAATAACACATAATGCATAGACATTTAGACACTGTAAGTGTGACATAACTGTCCGGTTACTTTTTGGGGTCACTGTGTATATGAGTCAGGATAAATAAAAATTAGTAGAAATATACTCTCTGTATTGATGAAAAAATGCCAAGTGCGTGATTTGTGAATGCAAAAAAGATGCACCATTCTGAATTGAACTGAGGATACTTTTTAAAATTTGAATTGAAGGTATTGTGTTGTTATTGCTAATTGAACCTAAACTTTAATTAAACCTTTAAATTAACATTTGGCTTCATTTTTTTTTTTTACTTTTCTAGCAACAAACATCGTGATTTCATGAATTTATAAACATGTCTAAAAAATAAATAAATAAACAAATCAAGACAAAAGTTGCCTGACTTTGCTAGACGGGTTTGATATGGTGGAGACAGATAAAATAAAATAAACTTTAAAATAAACTTTTTTTTTTTCTTAAAAACTGCTGCCTAAAAAAAAAAAGATGTATTTTTGTCCAAAAAAGAAGATTTTGCCAAACTACTTAATTTCTCTTTTAAAGAATACTTTTACTAAGGCTTTTTTTCCATCCATGTATGTAACGTTTCTTACTCCTCGAATACAAAGAGTGTAAACTTTTTATTTATTTATTTCCCCAAGACAAAAGTTGCATAACTTTATTTGATGACTTTGATTCGGTAAAATAAAATTAACTGCTTAAAAAACAAAACAAACTGCTATTTTTGTTTAAGAAAAACTAAGATATGAGACAATTAATATTGCTTTTTGTACGATCACACCATATCGTTACCATTGAAGAGAGAAATCTGTGAGTGACGGCGGTTTCCCACTGCAAGCGTGAGCGGCGCGTGAGCGTAACTACATCGTCACTGCAGCTGCAGATTAGCCAGAGTATTCACACTGGAAGCGTTTGTACAGTGTCACAGCTCCAAAGCTACATATTTCTTTACAAAGACAACTATAAATTTGTTTTTAGAGGTTGGTCAGTTATTAACTTGAATGTTTTGAAGTCTTGAAAGTTTGTTAACACGGGGATTCGCGTGTAAATGGTAAACAAAAAAAACAGCTCCTATCATGTCGTTTCAGTCATGCTCAAATATAGAAAGTGCTGTTTATACTGTTTTTTTTTTTTTTTTAAATAATACATACTTTTACCCATAGGCACTTACCCAGATATGCGCTATTAACCAAGTTATAGCTCAGTGTGTGTCCATAATCTCCATGTCCATTTCTTATAGAAGCTGTCAATATGCTTTATGTAAATTACGTGTGATTAAGCTCAGTTTTTGTAACTGATCGGGAGAAATGTGAATTATTCGTTGGATTTTAACTAATCGTTAGGCTAAGAAAGAATGTCAAAATGTAGGTAGAGCTGAATAAAAAAAGTAGGCTATGCGTTTCTAGCCAGTCAATTACTGCTGTCAATATGATTTAAATAATTGTTTTGTGTCTGTGTTCGTCTTTTGTCCTTTTTTGTAATTTGTGCCTTGTTGTCCGTTTTTGTAACTGAACACCTGGAGCAATATAATTATTAATTCTATTTTAGCTAATTGTTAAGTGAGAATATTATGTTTAAGTCATTATTTGTTCATAGAGATTCATTTAAAAATTGAAAAGGTGTGTTTCTAACCAAGGTGAACACGCTAAGCGTTCATAATATTTTTATTAGGCCGGATGTTGAAGATGTCAGTATGTTTCATGTGCATTTATTGTGTCTATAGCTCCGTTTCTGTAACTGTGGAACTGAAAATAAATAAAAGGCATAAGTTTGTCACGTCAATCGTAAGTGAACACGTAAGTGAACACGTGTGCAATATTTACAGAATACAATATTTACAGAAGCTTTCAATAATGAATGAATAATGAATTTCTTATGTAGCTACTTTCTCATTGTAGCTGCGACTTTTTATTTTTTTGCGACAAGGAGCTATTTTAGCTATATTTAAATAAAACTAGCAATTTTTTGGAGATTTTTTATTTTTTACTTGGCCACACCCTGCCGTAGGCCCGTGACCTCTCACGTTTGCTCTCAATCATGCCAGTATATATTTTGCATGCTAGTGATAGGAATCGATCCCTTGACGTGATTGGTTATTGGTTTGTGACGTAGCAAACCAAGGGCTGTTTCAAACCATATTTCTGGGTCAGCCTTTGGGAAACTACAGTTTTAAGGAGAAAATACACAGCAATGGTGTTGATTAATAGATTGGCACATGGTTTGTCTAAAAGCATATTAAAAACCCCACATAGACAAATAAACAACATAAAAAACTTGATTTTCACTACAGGGGGACTTTAATGCATTATATAAGTCACTTTGGAATATAAATCATAGCATGTTTCAGAAGATAAAAAACAGTCCGGAAAATACGGTATAGCAAATTATTTTGTGGACACCCTGGCTTTGCGTCAGGGATCCCCAAGGGTCCGCGAACCCCAGTTTGAAAACCCCTGTGTTAACAGATTCAACTTTAATTCAATAGTGTGCATCCTGATTTACATATGATAGTAAAAGATGGCTGTAAATATTGTTATTTGAACAAGTAACATATTGAAGTTTACATATCAAACTGTGTGCATTCTAAATCAATTAATTTAAACTTCTGAATGTCAAACTTGGTCAAAACAAGTGCAGTATCTTCCTCTAGGGGGCGGTAAACTTTGTAATCTTTGTAATGCTTTGCAAGCTTTTTCTCAATTGTTCCATTTCAATAACTTTTGTTGTGCTATCGTTCTGTGAATAAAACCAACATCTAAATGTTATTTTATGAACCAGTAATAAGACAAACCCCTTAGATCTGAGATTTATTTTGTATACATTTCACAAGACACATTTCAGTATTATATGGAATAATTGTGCTTTTTGCTCTTGGTTTTGCACTTTGCAGACGGTCCCTATCCTGCACTTTTACATTATAAGGTCTATCATTTACAATACCTTAAGGCAGATTAAAACAAATAAAACACATTGTGTGTTCTCTTCTACATTTGAAAATAATTATAACACAGTATGTTTCTTGGTATTGTGCTAAATTGTTAAATAAGATTTCCGAGGCTGAATCTCTCACAAATGTCAAACATCGAACGTTTATATCGGTTAGAAAACATGAGGAATGACTGACATCTCCTGTTCTGTTACTCTGTTACCTTTATAAAACAGAAGACAAGCATCTCAATTCAAATCATCTCTCTAATATTGACAGACAGACACAGACTAACAGTGAGATAGGCTAGATAGCTAGATAGAACCCTAGTACTTTTGCAGTGAAGAGTATAGTCATGCAGAAATTGTCTAACGTTATTTCAAAAACAACCGACAAATATTAAACTCACCATTCGAGTGAAAGCAGAGCTCTAGATGAGGGAGATTAAATCCACTAACGTTACTAATGCACTTTCCAATCAATAACAGAAGCGAAACGCCCTGAGCTGCAAACACAACAAGAGCAGCGAAGTAATAATACAGTATTCTGCAGTAACGTTGTTTGTTTTGATGGCCCATAGTCACGTGACCCGCAAAGCACTACTCCACTCAATATTTAAATTGTAACATGTCAAATAACAATGATTTTTTTCATCTCACTACTGCTAAAAACGCAATACGCGTAAAATTAGCGTACCTTTTCCACGTCTTAACGCCGCAGCTAGGTTTCTGTAGAAAGCATAGACATATGGTGGAAAGTAGGTCAAATCCCAACGAACCCCCGCGCGTGACACACATTAGTTTTGCTCTTGTCACGATCAGCTCGGGCGCGCGCCCAAGAACTCCAGTCACGTTGAAGTGCAACGTGACAGGGAGGAGCCACACGCTGCATTTGATTTTCTCCAGCGCACGATGTTGAAGGAATGATGGGAGAAATAAAGAATTTTAACGCTTTTGTTTAGGAAACATGAAGAGAAAGCAAGAACAGGCGTGATGCAGTTTAAGTTGTAAACCTGTAAAGTTTATTTTATTAGTTCACAAATCTGACAGCTTTTCTATTATAGGTCGCTTATCGTTTTCTAGTATGGAAGCCCGTTTCCGCCACTGAATAAAAACATAAAAAAGGTAATTGCGATTATTTATCTCAATTCTGACTTTTTTCTCGACTTTTGCGTCATGTAAACTCGCAATTCTGACTTTTTCCCCCCTCAGAATTGTGAGATACAAACTCGCGATTGCGAGTTATAAAGTCCAGTTCTGAGGAGAAAAAAAGACTGATGTTCTCAGAATTGCGAGTTTATAACTCACAATTCTGATTTAGCCCAATAACTTGCAACTGCGAGTTTATATCACGAAATTCTGAGAAAAAAAATCTGAACTTTCAGTTTATATCTCGCAATTCTGACTTGATTTCTCACAATTGCAAAGTTTATATCTCACAATTCTGAGAAAAAAAGTCAGAACTTTAAGTTAGTATCAGGCAATTCTGTTGAAAAACGGAATTGATGAAGAAAAAACATTTTTTCCAACAGTGGTTGATTTTTCCTACACATTTATGTAGAGTGAATTCAGTTAAAGTGAGATTTTTTTTTCTTTTCTTTATCACCTTTGTTAACGTTAAGTTCCAACTATAATTTCATTTAAAGGGGTCCTATTATGCTCTTTTACAAAGTCTTGATTTTGTTTTGGGGGTGTACTAGAACATGCTCTCATGCTTGGTGGTTCGAAAAACGCGTTATTTTTCACATAATTTACATTATTAAAATACCTTTCTCCCCA